ATCATCTTTTTGACGCCTCCACCTAGAAAAAAAACATTACAAAAATACGTCCCCCTCGAAATAGTTCCATTTTCATTTGGAACATTTTTTATATCAAAAATAAACGAGATATTTTAGATGGTCGATTGAAGTAGACCATCCTGTATATAATATGTAAATATACGCATATGGAGTTTTAATCGACCACCTCAAATATCTCTTAAACAGTGCATTTTAGGGGAAAAAACTTTAGACAAAAATTTTTTATTATATTATTATATTTAATATTATAAAAATAGCTGCTAAAAGCGCTTTTGCATGTGCATAATTATTTGTAATATTTATAATATAATAGTAATAAGGTTCAATAAATTACAAAAATTAAAGAAAAAGGGTTACGAGCCTAAGAGTTAGTCGTTAGAAATAGAAATTTTAAAAAATCACAGGATAAATATGTCATTTAGTCAGAATATAAAACTTTAATTTGCCGGCAATAAACAATATAGCACACAAACGTTTCGATCCTTGTTGGATCATTATCAATGTTAAATACACAAAAATAGAACGGTGAAAATATTACAAAGTTAAAATATATAAAAATTACAATTCGCTCTCAATCGCAAGCAAAAATATAATAAAACTCACAGTAGTTAATATAATAAAATTCGCTCAGTGTATGAGTTGAAAGTTATGTGAACGTTGTAACAGGTAACAATATGTGATTGCATTCTAACTTTGAGTACATGTTTTCCTGTCGCTCATAATTAAATACTTTTAATTTCATTAATAGTACATTTGATTTATTGAAAAATTTTTGATTTTTTGATTACTTTAGTATTTATATGGATTATTTTCCTTAATAATGTATCAGATTGAGATACAAATTATCAGTATTATTATTCTATAGTATTAGTATTTATATAAATGTTCCAATTCTAGCATTTTTTTTTGTAGATTTTTGTAGAATTTTTCTAAAATTACAAAAATCTACAAAAATGCTACAATTGGAACACTTGTTAATTTTGTGAAATTTTTTCTGGTGATCAAAATTCATTTCAATGTGTGTTATAACAGTATGAAAATAATGAAAGTTACATATATGGATATAATAATAAATTCATTGTTCGTATATTTACTGATTCTTTTGTTTCTTTGAACTTCTTCCATGTTTCACTCTCTCCGCCACGCAACGGCATTTGCTTGAGCTTTCTAAAAATCGGAAACCGAATTTCATGATTCAACGAGTATACATATATATTATTTTTCCATATTATATCATATGTACCTTTTTCTCCTTGTTCTTTTTGACAACTTTCGCATTATATTTCTCATCATTAGATGAAGAGATGACTTTTCTTGTAAACTTTTGTCTGTCCTTTTTCGCGACTTGCCCCGTACCATATTTCTCGAAATGCCTTATTACTATTGGCTAACTTTCATTCGGCGTTAAGCGATGTTTAAGCATATTATGAAGCACTTTTGAACTAATTGTATATGAAGGTAACATAAAAAGAGTCAATAAACGTCCTGACTCTTGATCGTAACTAATTCAGCTCGCAGGAACTAGATCTACAGATTTATCTTCCTCCTTTTTCGTAATAAACTTTGAGTTTCTAATTTTTTGTAATCTCACTCATGTTTGTAGAATTAATAATTTGGATAAGAAAGAAACGCTGGATTTGCGATATGAGAGACTACAGACATTAAACTGAAGACTGCGATGCCGTTGCTTTCAAACAAACAAATAAAAACGTTATTACACGACGCGATGGCATCCGTGGCAACAATTCGCGGTTCCGAATTGGATTCCTACATACGCTATAAACAAATGACGATCACTGCGTTCTTAAATTATAATATATCAATAGACATAAAATAAAATTCATGAAAAGACATATAATTATTTCAATATTATTATTTTTGAACGACAAATATTTTATATTTCAAAGCTAAATAAGTGATGTTATTAATACAGGTAATACTTTATAAGTATAAAGTATATGGGAATTTGGTTGCTGGTGTGCTCTGTTATGATCCTGGTTATGAACTTGAGCATAGCTCATAACTGTAATATATAAATTACCTTTCTGAAGGCTTGTTAAGACTTTCACAAATCCATTATTTATTTCACGCGTAAACTTGCAATCAAGGCGCGTGTTTTGTGCAAATTCTTTTATTTTATCCATGTTTTTATTTGAGGACTCGGCGGGTACCTCGTTTTCCTTATTAGAATGTTACCTTTCTACAATGTAGCATATAATCTTCATTACTGAAAGTAATGCCACATGTGATAATAGTACATTATCACAAAGAAGAAAAAATAATAATAATTGTTGACGGATAATTCTTCAACAATAGTCTCTCATAAGATGGAGCTCATAACACTCAGTAGTACTATTCTGTAGTTTTGGAGTTTTTTCTTGTCGCTCTTTTCAAATATGGGGATGGCGATACTGAATTTCCAGGCTTTGGGCTTGAAATTCAGTATAATTCTTCCTGTATTATAGATTTTCTTTAATATAGTGTTATCTGTTGGAATATCCCTCTCATACTTGATGAATTCGTTGGTTATCGCATCTGCGCCAGGCGCCTTTCTATTCTTCAGCTTTAGAACAAATTTTACCGTCTCCAAACTCATATTCAATGTGGATCTCAGCTCTGTATCTACTTCCTCCTCCCTCTCGTTTTCCCCGCCTTCTTTGTTTGTGTGGTGTAGAGTTTTCTAAAGTGCTTTATCTATGCCTCTGGGGTGACCTTGGCTGTTATGTATTCATTTACTGATTTTTTCTTTGTTGTGAGCATTTTCAATATTTTCCTTCGGGCATCATACATATCATAATCCATCGACATCGAAAACTTTTCCCAGTACTCTTTCTTTATCTGGTCTATCCTTGAGTTCGTTTTGTTCCTAAAGTGGATGTATCTTTTACGTTCTTCTTCCATTTTGCAGCTTCTAAATGCTAAGTATCACTGAGAGAAAGGATTTTGTTAAATTAGCAAGCCACCAGTACCTTTAACCGGTGATCGGTAAATATGTAACAACAAATTATGTTAGTTGTGATTGCTGCTAGTCTGCTATACCAACCAATTATTAATAATAGAAACAAACTATATAGAATCTAATCTATCTTTTGGATAGACTTTAGCTCGTTTACATAGAATTCATAGATGATCGTGGAGTCTTAAGTTGTAGGAAACCGACCAAGCACAATCAAATATAGGGAGAATACTTCATCACAATCAGAACAATTAATTTTGTAAACTACATTCCTTTTCATCATTTTAGGTAAAGGATCTTTGTGAACTTTAATTAATTGTTTTAATTTATTTAGACTGAAAAAAGTAACTCTATTGCAAACACCATTTACCAAATTCTGAAATTTCTTGGAAATCTTCTCTATGAACGGAATGAAAAACCATTTTACCTTTTCTCTTAATTTGTGCTTTGACAACTAATTTTTTTGTCGTTGAATTGGATCTATCTCAATCAATATTTTAATCCTTTCATTAATCATTTTAAAAATAAATTCCAATGGGTAGTCATTATATATATATATTTAGTAAAATGTTTACCAATAATTCCCAATTTTTTTTGTGAAAGATCGGATGTGAAAGGTAAAAACTCTGTCCACAAGATTATATATTAAGCCCTTTTTTTTGGGAAATTGGATGCTGAGACCAATAATTCAAATATCTGCCCGAAAAGGTAGGTTTTTGGTACCAATCAAAAATCAATCTGTTATCATCCATAATTAAACTTATGTCCAAAAAATTAATAGAGTTCCCCCCAACTTCCATTGTAAATTGTAATCTCCGGTGATAAGCATTAAATTTGTCAAGAATAAAATCAATCTGTGCAATATTGTATCAAATGGATTTGGATTTTTGTGAGTTGCTTGGTTTCGTGAAGTGAGTTGATGGAGTTTATGTTGCTCTCTTCTTTATTAATTTCTTTGCTGTTTTTAAAAAATTTTTTAGTTTGAGTTATTATTGCCACTCAGTTAACTAACTGTAATGGACATTGTACTCACGATCTCACGAAATCATGGTAATCGCACATACGACAATTGCGAAAATTTGGGATAATGACTGTGATTCTTGATATACTGTATATTTTGTTGCGTTGTTGCTGAAGATGACTCAAAAACGGAGTCGAAACGTACGAAGTGAGAGGATATTTTTATTGTAATAAACTCTCTCGATATTTTAACAACTAGAGGTAGACTCCTATTGCCTTATTTACTAATCTTGTTTTATTGATTGATTTAAGGAGTTTTAACTTGTTATTATTTTATTACTAAATTAAAAATTGTATTCAAACTAGGAATTACGTTTGCACGCGGACTTAAAACCAGAGGGGTGATTGGTCGGACAACGGAATGCCCAATGAAAAATGACAATGAAATGTCGATTCCATTATTTCTCACTGGGTGGAGCCGGTGTTTCGCGCGTAACCGCTCTGGTCCGGTGTAAGAATATAAGATGTATCCACTCCTATAAAATCACTGGTCTCTTCGTAAGATAACTAAATAATAAACCTACGTGTATCTTCGAACAAAAAACGCAAATTTGAGTTTATTACGCGTTATATATTGTAAAATTAATCACGCAAAAACGCTCGTTTATAACTAAAATATATTTTCTCAGGATAATATTTAAAAAGTGAAGGTAGTCCTAAATTTGTTTCGTTCTATGCTCCAGAGGAAATTATCTATTATTATGCTTAGTCAGATAATCCACGATTTGTCTTTAGTTATCGAACACAAAGTTTCCTGATTCTGTGTTACAATGAAATTCCAATGAATATTCTCAAGACGTGGATAACTTGTTATAACAATTCAACTGGTAAAGACGTTATCTTCTAAATACACAAGACGTGGATAACTTGTTATAACAATTCAACTGGTAAAGACGTTATCTTCTAAATACTTAGTGGATTTCCTCTAGTTGTAAATCAAATTGGTAACGGAGAGGTTGCTACTGAGCGGTACCTCCGCGACTTCTAACCCCAGCAGGTGCTGACACCTGACAGTTCCGTTTGATAGGACATTGATCTATATAAGCGTATGTCGGAGCAGAAAATTCATCTTTCGCTCTTCGCCATGCGGTAAAGTAACTCGCGAAAATCGGAGTAGTCGCAACTTAAAATTGGAGCAAAAGTGCTTAGAATCGGAGCAAGATATCCGGAGCCTTGGGAGTTTAGATCGGGCCGTTGAAGCATAGCTTCTTGAACACGTAGATAAATCTATCTACTTTTGAAGTAACTGGCGAAGGGAGAAAAAACGTGGTACCATAAGTCGGACGTTAGTTTTTATATACTTTTTCACGAGATTTTCTCAGGAGTCATCGTTATAAACCTACTCATAAGTATTCGTGTAAGTCGCGTGCGAGAATCCTTGGAGTATCTTCATAGACTGTACAAAGAAACGTGAATAAAGTGTTTAATGTTCTCAAGATAGACGATCATAGCAGAAATCTCTAATCGACCGCCCTTCCATCCAGACAATCAGGGTTTTCACTAGTTACGGATTCTATTTCCTATAGAAAGGAGACTAGAGCGTTTCACATAAAAATTCAAAAATTCAAATTTAAAAAACTAGCCTCAACCTTACAAGTTTTACGTAGTGATGACGCAGTGGAGAGAGAGGCAGAGAGCGAGTGAGACAACAAGAGTGGAAAGGGAAAGCCGCTGGCGTACCTGGGTACCCGGGCAAACAGTTTGCCCGGGCGCCCAGGTACGTCAGCGGCTTTCCCCTTCCACTCTTGTTGTTTCGCTCGCTCTCTGCCTCTCTCTCCACTGCGTCGTCACTAAGTAAAACTTCAATATTTTTTCAACTTTCCTTGCCGATAAAAAAGTGGAATTTGATATTTGGGTGATAGATTTCATCATACTCTAAAAGAATTTATGGGTTTCAGAGGTTTCATCTCTAGCAGAAATCCCCCTGTACCGTGGGCATCCTCCTTACTAGTTCGTTCAGTATTTTCATTTCTGATTGTCGTAATCAATCATCTCTGGGAAGATATGAGGAACTGATTGCTTTATATTGACGATATTCATCACTGTGCAATTGAAATTTTTCACGCTACGAGGACATTTCGTGACTTACCTTTGGCATCCGGCCAAGAATCAATTTATGGAATTTTGAAGAACCGATATTAACATTGAGACAATCCTTTTAACTGGAAAATCCTTGGAAATTATTTATTCCACGATTGTGTCAGGGATTTGGTAAGTGTACAGAGTAAAAGATCACTTTCCTTATTTTCATTTTAAGGAATATTTCAGTTCACTTTACTTATTTTAAGAATTTTATATTTGCCTAAATTTACTTATTATATCAACTATTCTTGTAAATTAAAAATAAAAAGAATATTTTCTCTTAATCCTCGTTATTTCCTTAATATTATTGTTAATTTGCTCATTCATTATTCTACTGTCTGTTAAATCATTGATAATATTGGAATTTTTCATGTATATTTCACTATTACTTTTATTTAGTTATATACCGTACGTCAATTAATGGTAATTTATCTACATTCCATCATTTTGTTAACTATCAATTTAACATTCACTTATATCGGATGTCATATATTGGTTATGCGTGACTGATTTTTATTGTGGTCATATATACGCTCATTTCATTCTCAATTGTATATACTAAATTGAGACGGAAAGTCCTCTACCAATTTTCGCAATTAAGTTAATGAGATATTAATCTCTAAAGATTACCAAATACACGCGTCCGCCCGGCCTACTACTACCAAGTGTACGCCTATTGCTAGCTCAGCACGCGAGCCGCGGGGAGCGGCGATGGGCTGGCAAGCGCCCCGTTCGAGTCACGACGTCAGGTTTTTGGGATCCCAAGGTGCCAACTTTCAGCGCCCATGGCGCTACTACGCGCCAACAGACGATGAAATTTTCTTTATTTTCTTTATTTTATATTTTTTGTATTTTTGCTTTGTATACCAATCTGATGAATCTGAGCTTTAACGTCCGTGGCAAAGGAGGAGAGCATCATACATCAATATATCACGTTATCGCATAACATCACATTTATTATCAAACATATATTAGTATCTTATAATATCACATATATTATCATTTAATATCTAATATATATTAGTGTGTTGTAATATCCAATATATTATCATTTAGTATCAAACATACCTATCTCAGTTTTAATTCAAAAGGTGTACACTCACCGACTGAAAGGTTGCAACACTTTTTTTTAAGGAGTTTCGGAATGCAGTCTGCTCACCGAGCGATTGGTCCTTGCTTATGGATCCATAACAAACCCATTACAAAAAAGTGTTGTAACCTTTTAGTCGGTGAGTGTACAACTCACAGATTAAAAACCGCACTTACGTTCTCATACAAGACATTCTTTCTATTTCATTCACCGCCTCTATGACATACAGATCATCGCTATCTTCCTTATTTTCTACATCAGTCTTCTTCTACAAGTACATAGTATTGTTAAACTTCTTAAACATATCTTTGGTACTTACAAAATCTTTAAAACAATAATTGTTAGTGTGCGAATGCGCTTTTATCATAAGGATTGCATTTAACATTTCTGTCCCTATTTTATTCCTTACTTTATTTTTTGTCGCATTCATAATGCTAAAAATTCTTTCCACTGTTGCGTTTAATATTAGCAAATTTAAGATTTTCAATGCAAAGTATGCAATATTTTTAAAAGCAAACGAACCTCCTGCATTTTGTTGCGCTACAATTCGCCAAAACTGATAACTATCTTTCAATATTTCTTTTCTATACAATGCACTCCAGTATGCATCACTTAATATATTATACTTACACTCAGCTTTAAACAAATTTTTCTTATCAATAAACGCATCCAGTAAAGAAAGATCTAAATTTTATTTTTGCAACTTGTGACAGACATACACTTGGACTTAACGCCTGAATTCCTTTAAAATGATTAATATTAGAGGTAATTTTTTAAATAATTCCTGTAATAACTTCTTTAGGTAATAATTTGATTTTCGTTCTAAATTTTTTATATCACTTTTTGATACAGATGCTTTTATTTTACTATAATATTTATAATACTCTACTTCAAAATCAGTTTCATTTGGTTCCACATGTACAAATTCATTGTTAACATTTTTTATAATATTATTTATATTTTCTACAAACAAAAGCTTCAAAATTTTTCTAGCTATAATAAATACGAGTTTTTTTTATGTCCTCAATCGATTTCTACATAATTTAACTGGAAAATGCAATTTACTTTATTTAATTCGTAAAGAACTGGTTTAAGAATGATCAGATACAAGTAATTAACTTCGTCATGTAATATTTCGTTTAGCATTCTTGCTGTGTAACATTTTTTTTTGTTAACAACTTCAAAATATGTTTTTAGTTCATTATAATGTTCTAACAACACATTTATTACGTTATATCTGCACAACCAACGTGTAGAACATAGCTGTACGAAGTTGTGAAACGATTTCACCATTATTTAAAAATATCGTATAATCTTTTATATTCTATTTTTCTACTGCACTGTGTGACTGAATCATGCGTAAATTTCTCCATAAAGAAAATCTAAATTTGATAACATATCAGCCGTTTTAGACGACGCATTATCAAGCCGATTAAGCAAATGACAAATATAATGGCATAAGATTTAACGTATAATTATATATATCTTAATTCGCATCTATGATGTCGTGGAAGAGTAATAAGATCTTCTCTTTATTTTCCGTATCATTCATATTCAATAATTCATTTAAATCGTGAAGTTCTACAGATTCATCATCACTTTCGTGTTTTTCAAAAGTTCTAAAAATTTATAAGATTATGTATTGAAAATATGTAACGCAAGAAATATCGTAATTCGATAGTACAAATATGTAATAAAATATATACAGCAAATATATACAGTATTATGAAACATACCGAAATGTCTTAACGAAATTTGTACCATTGTCAGTTGCAACATATTTTATTTCAAATGTGATATTAAAAAAATACGGAATTAATAGCTTTTGTCAAAATATGATATGTATGCCTTTCTTTCATTCTTTGACAAGTTAATGCAGCTTTTTGTAAGATTTGAGAATTAATCCAACGAGCTGTAATTCCCAGGTAACTTCTACGGAGAATTAAAATTTTAGTTAATTAAAGAAACATAAAAAAAGAAATACATTTGTAAAAAAATTAAAATATTAAAAAATCGTGTCAATACCTTTTCTCTTTACTTTATAACTCTACTGTAGTCGATACAATTTTAATTTCAGCTAACTTATCTACTATAGCATTTTTCATTTTTAGATATTCTTCGTCGATTTCTTTTTTCAATTCGATTTTTTTTGCTCTTCTATACTGAGAGAAAGGATTTTGTTAAATTAGCAAGCCACCAGTACCTTTAACCGGTAATCGGTAAATATGTAACAACAAATTATGTTAGTTGTGATTGCTGCTAGTCTGCTATACCAACCAATTATTAGTAACAGAAACAAACTACATAGAATCTAACCTATCTTTTGGATAGACTTTAGCTCGTTTACATAGAATTCATAGATGATCGTGGAGTCTTAAGTTGTAGGAAACCGACCAAGCACAGTCAAATATAGGGAGAATACTTGAGTAGAATTAATTAATTTCTTACGATTTGAGACCCTGCAACCGTCTACGACTTTTATATATATATTAGCCTCTTATTTGCTAGCGATACTATTGATTATTTGTTACATTGACGAATTAATTTGCAATCGTAACAAATCGATTGTTTTTTTTAAACAAATATCACATTTGCTTTCCCTTGATTTGTTCCTATAACAAAATCTTTTCTCTCAGTGTACCCATTACTTAATCAATTAACTTAAAGACACTCTCATTTTAATCAAATTAATAAATGTTGAAGATTCTAGATTTACGCCATCACTGAGTATCAAACGATGGAAATATGTAGTTAACAGAAAAAAAACCCTAGATATACGCCATGATTCGATTACAATGATTATTGCCAAATATAAAAATATCGTTGATACTGCCAATGAGTATAAGTCAAAATAATTAATCCTTCTTTTAAAAGGTTAATCCGGATTCTAAAGGATGCAGTGAGCAGTTACATTTAATAAAATTGTAGGGTCAGAAAAAATAGTTGAGTCAATAATTAAAACAGTAAAACATTTAAATTGAAGCAAACTTGCGATGAGGACCACTCTTAGTTGTCAACCAGTAGACTTACTGGTTGGCGTATTAATTACCACGTTGACTCTCAGTCGCCTTGTTTTTTTGGATTTTTTGTTAATAATCATGTTTAAACGTGAACCTGGTTTTCTGGAATCACATAAATAAAGATTAAGATGCCATATCAGAGATATCAAATTCTTATGAAACAGAAACAACATTATGAAAATTGCCAATACTCCTGCACTGGCAGATCCGAATGTAATAAACCCTCGCCAGACTTTTCTTCCGGCTGACTCAGTTATCTTATTAATTGATTCTTCATCTAGTAGATTAAGCATGGAGATGCTTCTGGCGGGTATTTCGTTACCCATTGCTCCGCGGGCGATCGTATTTAACATCGATGGCCTTTCCACCGGGAACATTATGTGAGATCGCAATCTGTCTAGGTCCTCCGGATTGTATATACCGCTGGTTGCTAACGATGATGAGCTCGTATAATGTCACGTTGGTCGTGTTAACGGTTGAATCGTTGCTGGTGCTAAGCCTTCCGTTGGTTTCAGTGTGAGCCTTATCCAAGTGCCGTGAATTTTATACACTACGGGTAAGAGCTCGTTGCAGTCGCGCACTGTGTCCGTTTTAGTGATTATTCGCGAGCGCGGTTGTAGAAACATAGAAGCGTTATTATGCTTCACTGGTAGTTCATTATAACATTGCTTATTGTGTCGTAATTTGCATTCAACCGGCACGCATTTCACCAAGTGCAGTACTTCTTCTAAAACAACTGCTGTGTATCCTGGCTCCTTCATGATGCGGTGCGCCGTTTCGTCAGGCGCGATGCTGGCTAATGTAAGCGCGTTTTGCAGTACCTGTCTCTCGAGAGCACATTTTTGCTCCATTATATCTCTATAGAGCTGTGTCAATTGCGTTTTAATGTGTTTCTCTACGTAAACGAATTTTGAGTTTACGTAGAGGAATATGTCTAGATTGTCGACAGATATTTTGCCTCTAGTTTTGAATTTTCTTTCCTTCGACGTTTGCAGGATGAATAGCTTAGGGTGTTCGGTCTGCGCCAGCTTGTATCCGCATACTTCGATATCAGCTGTTTTCGTCAAGGCGAACGTCGTTTCCTGTGCGGTTACGGTGTATACCGTCGGCGAATTTTGATGCTCCTTCGGCGAGAGCTTGGTTGCTAAGCCCTCATATAATATATCGTATCTATCAAAATGACAGTGGTCGATGGGAATTGGCTCCCAGTAAGTCTCTGATCCATCGTTGTCCAAGCAATACCTGCTTGTTGCTCTGCAATTAGCACCTGAGGGCATAATTATATGTCCCGTCGTTTGTTTTATAGGTAGCTCGAGTTTCCTTATGGTGACTTTAATTGAAGCCTGGACGACTACGCTTTCCCACGAGCCATAACCGTCCGTATATTGCGCTCCAACGCATTTGCCGTCAGGCGATGTGGAGCCTGCCAGCGTGACGCTACGAAAATTAGTAGCATTTTCCTTGATAAGATCCAGCACGGCATTCGCAAGTGTGATTGTCCCGGTGTCGTGCATCTCCGACAAGCTGCTTCGCCAATCTCTTGGATATACTCCCGTTTTCCATTATGTACTATTGATACGTGTGAGTGCATTCCGCAATAATTGATAGATTGAACGAACTTACCTGTGAAGTTCGATCCTAATTATGCCCCTGGTTTCGTCCGGATGGGAATAACTATGTAGTCGTGCTCTGCACGCGCTCTGACAACAGTGTTCAAAAAGCAATCAATTGGCGCCACCGCCAATAGCAAAAACGTGCGCTTCAGGTGGCGCCCATGTCTACTGCCGCCATCTTCCGCGGCCATCTTCCGCGGCCATCTTCCGGGGCCGTCTTCCACGGTACCGGCGACG